ATAGTGGAAAGAACTCTCAGAGAACTTCAGTGAATGGATGGATGGTTAAGGATGACGTCAGTTTTGGTAACATAGTTCTATGGCCTCAATCAAGTGCCTTTTTAGAGCTTTCATTTTTTAATGTATAAAATAGATTCTTAAAATAATCTCCAGTCTAATTTTCGGTTCCAAGAGTCTAAAGTTCTCTAACACAGAGGATTTATTCTGTGAGGCTGAGGTACGCCAGTCTCCCAGAGGGCAGAGGTAGCCTCACTAGAAGAGGACTGCAGTGTTCCTGGAGACCAAAATAAGGAAGTGGCGGCTTCAGGTGAAACAGAATTGTTTTTGATGTGGCAAGCGTTGGCGGAGCATTCTTTTAAGAGGAAGTGAGAACACACCATCAATTTTCATAGAAGCCAGCAGCTGCTCTAGGCCAGCACTCTGAAGCACATAATGACAGCCTTACGCTTGCTACAATTCCTTAGAGTCAACAGGCAGAACTGTGCTTCCTACCACCACAGCATGGTCACATCTAGTGCAGGAACGCTAGCTTCATCCTGTGGGGGGGTCCCACTTTACACAAGACTTGGAATTACAACACATCATTCAGCTTAAGAAGAATGGCTATTAACTGCTGCACCTCATTAGAATGAGTTGCCTGTTTACGGAAAAATATAATTGTTGTTTGCATATATGCACAAGGGTCCCAACACACAAGAACGTGGGTGCCCAGGCAAAATTTCATATGTAAAGTCTGGTACACATTTAAACGTTTAGCTGCTGTACATGGCAGGCTGACATTTTGAGCAATGTATTCTTATTCAATTCAATGAATAGGAATTTCCACTTCCTAGTGAGAACAGAATTTTTAAAAAGTAGAGAGTGTTTAGTTTTATATTAACAACCCAAAGTTGCTAAGTCGAGGTGCAGCTGTTTGGAGGTTCAGGGATGTAAAGGTGAGAATGGCTGCACTGCCAGAACAGAAGAGCCCATGAGGTGCACCAGGCTCCCCAGAGGTGGGTGTGGGTTCTGTTCCCAGGATGCTCTGTGCCGGCTCCCAGTGCAGTGCTGAGACAGGAGGCTGCAGGCACACCCTGTGCTCTCCTGGTGATATTCTTATCAGTGAAAAGACACAAAACTTCAAGAGCTAGACGCTCTGGAGCCAATTTTAGACACAAACTTCCCATCAGGAGTTGGGCAAGCGCTCTCAGAAGTAAGTGACAAGCACCTAGCCAGAGCTCTGCCTTTCTCAGTGGCTCAGTCTGTGCCTCCCTTACTGTGCAGCAGAAGAGCTTCCTTCTGGAAGGAACCCAAAAACTTCTTCTTGAGCTGACCCGTACTTCCTTTTTATCATCGAATAACACAACTGATAGATCAGATAGAAATACTAACTCAGGGTCATTTGGCAAATGTTCATGAGCGCTTACTCTGTGCATCACATTGAGCTAAAAAAGTTCTGAGAATAATAAAGGTCAATCAGGCATCATCACCCTGGCCATAAAATCCCATCAACAAGAGAACCCAGGATTTACACATGCCCGACATCCAAATGCAGCTCTGCCCCAATAGCATCCACCAAAGGCAACTGTCCCAAGGTCCTGCTTCAGCATCTGCTCCTCATGAAATCCCCTCAGTCACACTCCCACCACTAGCGGCACAATCTGCTAAACAGGAGGAGTGGTGACGGGTTGCAGTAGAGTAAAGAAGAAGAAATAAAGAACAGGGGTGTTCACGCATGGGGCCCACTCTAAAAATAGTGGTGTGGGTTCACCACTCTAGAAATAGTGGTGTGAGCTCCCTGTTGTTCTCCCTGCTAGTCAGAGTCCACGGAGAATGGTGACAGGTGACACACAGTAGCAGCAGCTGGGGACCCTTGCCAGTGAGTTTCTCCATCCACATAGTAACAAATATGGTTACTATTACTATTACATGGAGACCCTGGTGTTTTTATTTGTTTTTTTTTTTTTTACTTTTTCTACAATAAGAGTTGCACAGAATAGCAACTTTAACAAAAGCTTTGGATTCAAGATTTCTAGTAGCAGCAATTCAGATTTTTTAAAAACTCGAGTAACACATAGTGGTTGAATTCACAAAGAAGGGTTTATGTGGGTAACACCACCTCTCTAGAGAACAGGTTCTGAAATTCTAACACACGCTTTGGAAGAGTTGGAAGGGCTGGTGCAGGGCCTTGCCTCAGATTGCTCCATTTGGCTGCAGTGAATATTCTTAGTTGTTTTTTTTTTTTTTAAACAATGTGTTCATCTGAATTCCTGTGCAACTAGTAACAGGATTTCTGAACTGAGAACCCTGCAACATCCTTCCATCAAACATCAATTAATTTTTGTGTGTGTGGTACTGGGGATCAAACCTAGGACTCTGTGCTACCATCGAGCCTTAGCCCCAGCTTTGATTTAATTTTTAAAAAATTTTTTAAAAATTTTATGTATTTGGTAGAGGGTGTTACTGTGAAGCTTAGACCGGTAGTGATTCTCCTGTTTTCAGCCTCCCCAGCATGGGGATTACAAGTATGTACCATTGCTCCTCATCTTGGTGGCTGGCTCAGCATGCCCGGGGTGTGTGGCCAGTGCATAATGTGGTGCCGGGGATCGAACCCTAGTCCTTGCGCTTGTCTAAGCAGGCGTTTAGTCCATTGAGCTATCTTGCCAGCCCTAGTTACTTTATTTGTTGGCACTTTTTTTTTGGCGGTACCAGGGATTGAACTCAGGACCCTGCACTTGCCAGGCAAGCACTTACTCTACTGAGCTATCTCCCTGGCCCCGACTTGGCACTTTCCTCCTCACTTCTTAGTCATGTTAAGCTTCCCTGCTCCATCTTTCCAACCAGACAACACTAGCATTTTCTTCTATGGGCGTTCGAGTTATCATGGTTTCTTTTGTTACTGTTTTAAGGTATAAAGGTTTTTTTTTTTTTTTTTGCGTTTATCTTCCTCACAAATGGAAATCATGTAAAAATTCAAATTTTCTGGCTCTAGGTAAAGTTCATCTAGGCGAATGTTAACCCATTTTAAAGCTGTCTTTGCAAGCTGATCAGTAATCATCACAATACACAATTTAATGTTTGAATAAACACTCTTGCTTGTCATGCTTTATTTCCATCCTCCCTGTGTAAATGGGTCCCAGGCATTCCCTAAGATTTCAGGCTCAGTTTGTGTTTCTTTGCCTGAGGGTCGCACCTCCGTACACCTTGGGTGGCTTTATAAAATAAAGCAAGTGCTCTTACAAGTTTGATTTCTTTCTACCCACTCTTCCTGGAGGTAAAACATTATAAAGTGAAGTGAGATCTCCGAAACCTTGAGGCAATACAACTCCACAAAAACAAAACAAAACAAAACAAAACAAAACAAAACAAAAAAAACCCAAAACAAACTGTAAGCAATGATTCTGGATTGCTCCTGGGCTGCATTGATGATGCTTTGCCCGCGGTCTGATGGCATATAAGGATAGTACATATTTTCAAATCTTAATATTTTAATCCTCATAAAATTATCAAGTGTCCTATTTTATTTTATTTGGAATATCCAACCAAGTTTTCATTACAACTGGCTCAGAATCTTCCTGAGACTCCTTCTGTTCCCCATAATCTGGGTGACACATCTCGATGCTGTGGCAATGAACCGCTGCCATCATATGGCAATCTGAAATTAGACGCTGCTTCTTAACCGGCGGTAATCGTATTCTTGTTATATTCTTTTGAAACTGGGACCTGTTGGGTTTCTTTGTCCTACTCACAAAACACATAAAGGATTTCCTTTGATACAGAATAACTAAACCAGAACACTATTTCTACTGTGAAATGAGGATTTCCCAAACAAAAGACCTCCTTTCACGACGGGAGACAAAGGTCACGGTCCTTTAATTTCAAGCGGTTGTGTCTCAGGGTTGAACAAGGGTCCTCAAAACACAGTCTTGGCCTCCACAGCTTTTCATTATCTCAGAGGCCAATAACTAAATATTTTAGCTTGCATGATCAAGTACATAGCAAAAAAGGAGCTGATGTACATATTACATGTATTTTCCATATATGTATAATTGTCTCCAAAAATAAAGTAGCTCTCCCTTAGGTGCTCAGCCTTCTCATTTCACCTGTGAAGCAACTTTTTATTTGAACTGAAAAACAAAAAATACACTTAGGAATCTACCTAGACAATTCCCTAAACCCAGTCCCTGGTTACCTTAAGCAAGATATTTAAGTAAACTGCTCTTTAAATATGATCAGCATATTTTTCAATTTAAGTTTAAAAATGCATATTCTTTCCTGGCATTTGACTTTCTAGCTTTTCCAGTTTTTCCACATGGGAACTGTTCTTGTCTTTGGTGGCTCCTTTGACTTCTCTCCATGGCTGACTTCTTTTTGTAAAAGGGTGTTGCTGAGTGTCCCAGGCTGGCCTTGAACTCTTGATCCTCCTGGCTCAGTCTCCTGAGCAGCTAGGATCACAGCAGGGTGTCTCTGTGGCCAGCGATGGCTAGCCTTGACAGTCATAAGATATCCTGACACACAGCTGGCTGTTGGTGTATTTACAAGCTGTGGAACTACACTAGGATCTTACTCAGCATATTTTACAGTCCCCACTCTCAACTCTGAGCCTTTCTTGACTAGTTTAGCTCCTGTGGCTTTATGATTCTAAACATCAACAGCCAATGCAATCACCCTAAACCTGAAGTCTTGGGTATGATTACATAAAAACAAACAAGATAAATCATGAAAGATGTAAGAAACACAGTACAAAGAAGGGTCCCAGCATGGGGCATCCACAAAAGTGTCATAGTATCTGTTTTAGTTACTTTTAAGAAGCACTTAAGAAATATACACACAAAGAAAAAGTTTCTTACTTTGGCAGAACCTGTTTGATATAGCAGAAATTACCCTCACACCAAGATTACTTCCCCAGAGAACCGAGGCCTGCAGAGAATACCCACACGCAAACTCTACAGGGCAAAGAGAAAGCAGGCATGGGCACTTCCTGGGGTCAGGCTGCACACTGCTGCTGGCTGTATGCTTACCTGGGTCGAGCCTCGGGGTCCCCTGTGGAGTGGCTTGGGGACGTTGACTGCTGAAGTGAGGGGCTGTAGGTTTGCTTTGGGGACCTTGGCACTTCAGTGAAGGAGGAGCCTCGCCCAGGGAATGAGAAGGTTGAGGAGCTCTCAACCGCTGGGATCGGGTCCTGGACTTGCCGGGTGGCACTCAGTTCCTGCCCTCGTCTTTGGTTTTCCACTTCTAGAGGTACCTCCTTGTCAGAAAGGTCACTCTTGTGGAGCAGGGCATAGTGCTCGGGTTCGACCACACAGGTCCTGAGCCCCATGGTCTCAGGCCTGGAGCAGGCGGAACTCAGGTCTGTGCTTGACGCTTCCTGCTGATCAGCTTTTCCTCCCCGTTTCTCAACAGCATCGGAGTCCTTCCTGGACTTGGTGTACCGAGACAAGTGCTCAGAGTCCTCCTCGGGATCCAGAGCTATCCCATACTTCTCTGCCAGCTGTCGTCTTCTCTCTGCTTTGTACCTTGCAATCCTTTGGGCTTTGGACTCCTGACTGTGTAGGTCCATGATCCCTGGGCGACAGGACAGGTCACCATGGATGCCTGAGGTTTCTGTGCAGTATTTAGGTCGAGTTTGCTTGTCTAAAGAAGAGCCAGAAGTGTCTTCTTCTTCATTTGATCGCCCTACGAGAAGACCACAGGGATAATACGCACAGTCCAGTAAAGACACACAATGTTCACACACACAAAAGTGCGCCAGGGCACGTGCTTGCGGGACCATGCTCTGAAGGGCCCAGCTCTCACCTGGTTGTATGACCTGAAGTGATCCGCTAGGCAAGCACAGATCTGCAGGGCCCAGGGAGGAGGCCAGGGCCACTGGCGTTACCAGAGCCAGGGCCAAAGCCTAGCCTCTGGTAGTCCCAGAGCCCTCTGTCCTTGCTATGAGCTCATCTCCCTCTATTTGTTTTCTTTTTTTTCCTTTTTGTATTTTTTTTTCCTTTTTGTATTTTTGTATTTACTTGAGACAGGGTCTCTCCACGCAGTTTTGGCTGGCCTTATACCCACTTTTGTAGCCTCTAGGCTGGTCTCAAACTCCCAGTGATCTTCCTGCGTCAACGTCCCAAGTGCTGGGATTATAGACATGCACCACTACGCACAATTCTGAGGCCAACGAGGTGCACCTGGGGTTCGGGAGCCAGAATGCCATGTGGAGCCTGGGATCAAACTCTGGTCCTTGCCCTTGCCAGGTTGGTGCCAATGCCTCCGAGCTACCTCCCCAGCCCCTCTTTCTTTGCTTTTGTTTTTAATACAGGTCAAAGGACAATTCAAAATCTTCCAGAAATGATAAGATTTGGACCAGCTACAATTCACAAAGTGATCTGTTGTGGTGCATAGTCCTACAGGTCTGACAT